CCAGCCAGATCAGCCGAATCAACCCTGGCGATCTTTGGGGTGACAGATGTCACAGCCAGAGAGAGCACAGGAACAGGGGCAGAGAGAGGGAGAGGGAGAAGCAGGCTCCCCTGCTGAGCAGGGAGCCCAATGAAAGGCTCAATCCCGGGACTCCGGGAACATGACCTGAGCCCAAGGCAGCAGCTTAACCCACTGAGTCACCCAGGTGCCCCACACCAGAATTCTTTAGATGGCAAATTTATGAACCCATTAAGCACAAAGCATGTTTACCAACAGACCCAAATATCCTTTGTTTTTTGTAAGAAGAAGTCAAAAGCATAAACCTATATCCAGTAATTGATGCGTTAGCACTTTATCCTACCTGGAAAAGACCTAGATGTGCAGTGAATTTAATCCCATTTATTGTCCAAGCAAAACTATTTTAAGTTTCAGGTTCCCAAAGACTTTGAAAGCTACCTTAATTACCCTTTGAAAACTTTGAGGCAGACAAGATTAACCATCCTTTTAAGTTGTCTTTTTGCTAACAAATTGCAACAGATAATATGAGCTTATTTGACCTTCAGCAAACCTTGATAAAATCAAAGTTTCTCATTTAGTCCTGGTATCTTTAAAGACTTATCTTAATTAAACCACTAAACTTAGTTTACATACTGAATTCTGCTCCACCTGGATCTTCCCCATTGTTGTTTTTACCAGAGACACTGCTGGGGAACTCTGGAGTGGGTGGTGTTAGGTCTAGGGGGTGCTATTCTTGCTCCTTGACAGTAAGGGGAGAAGGAACCCTGAGGGGAGAAGGGGCATGGTGCCTGAGGCACTGAGGATGGTCTAGAAACCAGTTATGAAGGCCGTGCCAGAAGTGGTGCAGAAACAGGAGAAGGAGTGGGGGGAGACAGAACAGGCAAAATGTTACCAGAAGGCTGAGAAAGGGTTCCCGGTTTTAGAGCTCATCAGCTCCAACAGGGAAGCAGACGCCATGTTTTCCCACCAGCAAGGGGGGAAGGGTTAGTCAGTCCATGTCGGGCCAGAGAAGATGGAATTTCCCTGAAACAAAGGGAGTTTCCAGCAGCTGCTTGAGAATATTCCTGAAAGTCCCCATCCCGAGGGAGACCAACCACAGTTGACTCCAATTATAGCCATTAACCTAAGAAATAAGTGAGGGAGAAGCCCCCATGTCTATTAGCAGGAGGAACACTGACAAGAGAGTCCGGTTCCCCTTCGCTAGGGAGGGCCTGTGTTTCCAGCACCCTGGGTTTATCTGGAGGAGGCCTGTTTAGATGATTATCTTCCAGCATCTCAGGAAAGGGTTTACTAGCCAGACACCTTTCGGCAAATACTTTCTGCCCTGTTTCCTGCGGGTGAGATGCAACTGACTAATCCCACTGTGGCCATGAAGGGTTACAGGAGATCAGTCCTTTCCTAAATTTTGCAATCTGAGTTGTTTCCAGTGAGTTAAAAGACATCCCAAGGGGCACCTGGGTGGCCCATCCCGTTAAGCATCTGACTCTTGATTTCAGCTCAGGTCATGATCTCAGGGTCATGAGATCAAGCCCGCGTCCAGCTCTGCGCTGAGCCTGCTTATCCCTCTCCCTCTCTTCCTCCTCTCTCTCTCTTTCACTCTTAAAAAATGTTACCCCAAGGGAACCGAAGAAGAAGCCTAGTATTGAGGCCATGCTCCCAGAAAAGTAAAGAAGGTTCATTACCGTATCCCACCCCTAAGTCCTGGGTGGCGTCCCACTCAGGACAGGTCAGAGGTCCCAGGGTGTCGAAAGCAACTGGAGGAATCCCCCAAAGATTCAGAATCACTATTGATCACCATTCCTGCCCTAAAAGCCCCCATAGGAGGGATGCCTGTGTCCGTCCCCTCCCCCACCGCATCCTAGGCTGCGAATGGGTGCCCAGTGAAGGGACTGAAATTCCCCACCTGGGCTGAGCCGTCATATGGCCTGAAGTTTGCCTACTGCCCTGCCACGTTTTTTTTTTTTTTTTTAAGATTTTATTTATCTACTTGACAGAGATCACAAGTAGGCAGAGAGGCAGGCAGAGAGAGTGAGGGGGAAGCAGGCTCCCTGCTGAGCAGAGAGCCCGATGTGGGGCTTGATCCGGGACCCCGGGATCATGACTGGAGCCGAAGGCAGAGGCTTAACCCACTGAGCCACCCAGGCACCAAGGCCCTGCCACTTTTAACCCATGGAAAATAATAGAAAAGTTTTATAAGGGGGGAATTACCAAATATTGTAATTTAAGTAGTTAGTAGAGGACATCGACGGAAAACAACAAAGATAGAAATCCATCAAAGGGGCGCCAAGCAGGCTCTCTGCCAAGCAGAGCCACCAGGCACCCCCCCACCCCAAAATTTTTTAAATAAATAAAAATGCATGAAGGGGCGCCTGGGTGGCTCAGTTGGTTAACATCTGCCTTTGGATCAGGTCATAATCTCAGGGTAGAGGCATGCCGAGGGCAAAGCCAATAAGATTTGCCAAGTGATCTGATGTACTTCGTGGAAGAAGAGAGAGAGAAAGGTCAATAGTAACTCCAGCCACAGGGTTGGAATTGATCAATTCACCTGCTCATCTATAAACTCATCTCCGCAACGGGTGTGATAGACACTCTTGGACTCAGAGCTGTTGATGGAGGGTTTAAAGGAGCTATAGCAGTCCTGAAGTATAAAAGGTGTCGTGCCAAACCCCCTGGAAAAATATAACAATCGTTAGCTATTGTCCTGGACTGCCCTCTTCAAAGTGGATCTTCATCTCATCCCTGATGTTTTCAGCTGGTGTTTCATTTTGTTTTCACACTGAGTTCTACCCTTATAGAAGGTAGGAATTAGTTGTAGATATCTTTGCATTCCCAGTTTATGTCCCAGTGCCTGAACATTTACGACTTCTTGTTGACTGTGTTCTTGCCAAATCTCATTGACACGATGCTTTTACAAATCTATATCCTTTGGTCTCCCCAATACCTGGGGTTCCAAATTTCCTAACCTATGAGGCCCATTTTGCTGCTCTCCTCCCTTACTGCCTCTGAACACCCAGAACCCATACATGCAGATGCTGGTGACACACTAAGAATGTATACTCTTTCAAAGACACGTTCAACATTTATTTGAGCACAGTTGAAAATGAGAGGACAGGGAGTACCCAGGAGGTAGTTCTTGGTCTTCCTTCTGTTGTCCCAAGATCTTGCTAGAAATAGAAACTTGCTTACCCCATCAGGCAAACAGGCTAACCTGCAATTAGCAGGTCTTGCTTTTTTTTTTTTTTTTTAAATAATTTATTTAAGTAATCTCTATACCCCATATGGGGCTCAAAATCACAAGCTGAGATCAAGAGTCACAGGCTCCACCTACAGAACCCACCATGTGCCCCATCAGGTCTCCTTTGAAGGCAAGTTAGCAAATCTCCCATTATCACAGTGCTTTGGACTGTCCTATTCAGCCGTCTGTCTCACTCCTCACCTCCCCGAGATCTTGCCCAGGAGAGTCTGTAATATAACAGATATTCAATAACCATTCTCTAACACTGCTGGGTCCCAAAGGGAAGGGTGATTAACAAGACTTGCTGATGGAGAAATGGAACATTGATCAAGAAGTGAAAATGGAGAGTTTGCCTTATGGCTTAAATTTGTTTGTTTACTTATTTACCCCTCCTTTGGCTCATCATATGGAATTACTCTGTTAGTTCCCTCATACAACTATCTTTATCTGAAATCAATTACTTATTTGCATGTGTGTGTGTGTGTGTTTAAGTAAACCGTAAGCCTAACACCTAGGGGCACACTCCAACTCAGGACCCCAAGATCAAGAGTCACATTACTTATTGCATATTTATCACCTGCTGTAATGGGACAACAATCTCCTCTATCTTGCTCTAATAAGACAGGAATCTCCTCTGTCTTGGTCATAAGTGTATCTTTTTTTTTTTTTAAGATTTTATTTATTTATTTATTTATTTGACAGAGAGAGAGAGAGATCACAAGTAGGCAGAGAAGCAAGCAGAGAGAGATGGGGAAGCAGGCTCTCTGCTGAGCAGAGAGCTGGATTCGGGGCTCAATCGCAGGAGCCTGGGACCATGATCTGAGCGGAAGGCAGAGGCTTTAACCCACTGAGCCACCCAGGCGCCCCTCATAAGTGTATCCTGCTAAAACACAGTGCCTAGAACATCTCCCAATAAATAGTTCTTGAATGAATGAATGACCACAAGGAAATTAGCAAGAAACATTTTAACTAAATATAAACGTAGTCATACTTTCTTTGCCTTCTTTATGATTTATGAAAGTTGGTAAACTTTGGGAAAATTGGGTAACATGAGAAAAAAGTAACCAAGGGAGAAATGCTTCCTTAAGATGTTGGGTTTTCAGGGCGCCTGGGTGGCTCAGTGGGTTAAGCTGCTGCCTTTGGCTCAGGTCATGATCTCGGGGTCCTAGGATCGAGTCTTGCATCAGGCTCTCTGCTTGGCAGGGAGCCTGCTTCCCCCTCTCTCTCTCTGCCTGCCTCTCCATCTACTTGTGATCTCTCTCTGTCAAATAAATAAATAAAATCTTAAAAAAAAAAAAAAAGATGTTGGGCTTTCAAGGAAAGAGGTACTCTAACCTAAATCCATCATTTGGGTTTTCATTAGTTTTGTATCCCCTCGAATCCTAGAGGGAAGAGCTAGCTCCTTTATTTCTTTACGCCTCGTCAGTGAACAGAACACTGCCCAGAAGGTAAAGGGCGCTCAATAAATATTTGAGGAATGAAAGAACCAGGCAGGAAACTAAGAATACACACTTACAAGCGTATTGGCTCCGACAGGCTGCAGTTCCTCCCCGGGGCAGGAGGCGGCGCCAGCGTTACACCAGCCCGGCCGCCGGCAGGTCTTGGTCCCTCCGGCAGACCGTCCAACGCTAGGCCCCGAGGCCCGTGAGGGAGCTAACCAATAGAAAGCCGTCTTAGTTGTCGGGTCTGGCAGAGATGCCCAATGACCGCAGCGGGTGTAGGCAAGGGGCGGTGCGACGGTGAGGGGCGGAGGGAAGCGGTTAGAGGTGGGAGTTGGCGTTGCGGGCCGGGCGGGGGCCGCGGAGCTGCGATGCGGACGGGGCCGCGGCGGTGACCCGAGCTGCCGCCCGACATGAACTCGCTGGAGCAGGCGGAAGGTAGAGTGGGCTTCCTGGGTCACCCGGGCAGGTCCCGGGCTCCTCCCGGAAGCTGGAGGGGCTAGAGTCACGGAGACCCCGCCCCGGGGAGAGGAGGCCGTGAAGGATGGACTGAAGGGGCCGGGGCCGCGGGGGCCTCGGGGCGGCCAGAGGCGGCCGGATTCTGGTTCCCGCGCGCGTGGCCTGCGCGGGCGCTGGGGGACGTTGCGTCAGCTCTCCCATCTCCCCAGCTCAGACCGGGAGCCCCTAGTCTGGGCAACTTTTGTTTTTTATTCCTTAACAAGCATTTCGCATTTTGCGGTTTGTGAATGCTAATTCACCCAGTTTTATTTCGATAGCCCCGGGAAATGGACCCGTAATTCCTGCTGTGGTTTCTGGTTTACTGTCACAGGAAGGGAGTGGCTTGATCTCCTTTTAAACTTTAAAAAGACTCGATTGGGGAAAGCTAGCCCACCTTGCTCACTCAGGAGCACTTTGGACGCCCCTTTCAGAAGGCCTCCGAGCTTGAGCTCTGAGAGTGCCCGGTGGGTCACCTGTAACCCATTCTGTGGGAGGAAAGGGGAGTGTCTCCACACCCACCCGTTAGCCGAATCAGAAATCCAGTGAGACCGGACGCGAAGCGTAGCCATTAATTAATTACACAGAAGGGCTAGAAATCGGAATCGGGTCGTTGCGGTCAAAGAGACCTCGAAGACTTTGATGTTAGGGAATACGTTGTTCTAGTAGAAGGTTCTTGGTTCCGGCAGAATTAAAACCCGACCTGATTCTGATCCTTTTATTTGCAACCCCCAAAATTCTAGCTTTTGGCGCCGGCTGAGGCTGCTGCTGATTTTCCACATACCATTTTACGAAGCTCCTAAAAGTGAACCAGCCAGTTTCCTTATATGTGAAATTGGAATTAAAGAAACGTAATGTTTCTGTCAAGTGCTTAAAGCTGTCCTAGTAAACGAAGTAAACAGTGCAGTGATACATGTAAGTTGGTGTGTAAGACCTGAAGCAGTTAGAGTATCTTAAAATTTCATCTTAATGGATGCAAACTAGTAAGAGTGGCTCAATTGGAAAATTGAAATCTTTTTACCTAGATCTCAAGGCTTTTGAGAGGAGACTTACAGAATATATTCATTGTTTGCAACCTGCCACTGGACGTTGGAGAAGTAAGTTCTTGAACGTTTCTTTGGAAAATAAACTGACAATCGGTACTTTTATCTCTGCCTGGCAATGATTTGCTTTTGTGTAAACTCTTTTACTAACAAATGCTTTTACTAAACCATAAGATTTCCTTGGTGTTTTGACAGTTTTTGAATTTTTTTAACTTAGTAAACAACGCATCCTAAAGAAAAAAGTTTTTAAGATTTTATTTTTAAGTCATCTCTACAGCCTTTGTGGGGCTCGACCTCACAACCTTAAGATCGAGAGTGGGAGGCTCTACCGTCAGAGCCAGCAGGCACCCCCACCAAAGAAATCTTTAAGAAAAGGAAGTGGCTCTACTAAAAGGACAATATTTCATATGGTTGGATTTTCATTTTTCCATCAAAATACATGCACTTCTTTTTATTAAATACTAACTATTGGTAAACGACACACACAAAAACTTCAGGAGGATCTTTACCATTTTTATAGTTTGCCTACAAACTATCGAAATAAAATTCTGTTGAGGAAAATTGTATTTAACATACACCTGCAAAGGTTATGAAATCAGCTTGGGTCAATTTTAGCAGACAAGGAATGTGTTGCTTTGCAGCCTGTCATGGCAAACAAATTCACCTTGCAACTGGCTTTTCAAAATGTCATGAGTACTGTAAAATAGGGTTTGAAAAAATGGTTATTGCCCCATGGAAATACTTAGGAAATGCAGATAAATATGTAAATGATGACCTCAGCAAACAAAATGCTTTGCTAACTTATGTTGGGACCAGTTTTAGTTTCTTGGACGTGTGTTACTGAAATTTAATTCCTGCCAATAGGGAAGTACAACAGCACATGTTGAAAACATGTTTTATTTCAAAGTGTAATTCAGTTTGTGGGGCCAGAGAGCACTGTTGAAGATAGGAGCCTTTTTCTGTGTCTGGATTTTTCATGGTATTTTTATTCGATCTATTTGCAAAGTTCTGTTTGTATGCTGTGAGAATTCTGATTGGTCAGAATTTACAAGTAATGATTTTCTCAGGTTCTTTGGCTTAAGGGAGAAATTACCCCTAAAACCTTACTTCACTGCTACTTGAAAATCTTTTAAAATGTATATGATGCTGTGGTATCTTATAGTGAATATACTTTACTTTTTCTGTGATTCATGGTCTCAGTGCTTACAAACAAATGACATCAGCTTGGTTAATGTACCAGCGAAAAGTATGTGTTTGAGTCCCTGCCAGTGGGTTTGATTTTGCTTTTGCTTCATTTTTCTTTTTTTTTTTTTTTAAGATTTTATTTATTTATTTGACAGAGAGACAGATCACAAGTACAAGTAGGCAGAGAGGCAGGCAGAGAAGGTGGGGGGGAAGCAGGCTCCCCGCTGAGCAGAGAGCCCGACGTGGGGCTCGATCCCAGGACCCTGGGATCATGACCCGAGCCCAAGGCAGAGGCTTTAACCCACTGAGCCACCCAGGCACCCCTGCTTCATTTTTCAAAAGAAAAATCTGTGTAGTATGATGTATTTCTTACTAGAAATATAGCATTATAAGAAAGTTTTAATCTGTTCTGAAAATGTAATTCTGAAATTTTGATTCTGTTCTTAAATACCTAAAATGAGATTGTTTTCCTGTGATTTGCCACTTCTAAAAGTAAATCACCAGGAATTCTAGGTAAAGTTTTATGTTTCTATTGCTCTTTGAATCTTGGTCTTTGTATTTTAAAACTGTATGTGTCCTAACTGAAGGACAGTACCTTGATATCCAGAATATTAACTAGGTCATGGTGCCCCTTTATTATTTTCTAGTAGTACCATTTATTCCTTTTTTTTTAATTCCTTTTTTTCTTTAAGATTTTATTTATTTTTTTAAACATTTTTTAGAAGATTTTATTTATTTATTTGTCAGAGAGAGAGAGAGAGAACGCACAAGCAGGGGAAGCTGCAGGCAGAGGGAGAAGAAGGCTCCCCACTAAACAAGGAGCCAGAATTGGGACTCGATCCCAGGACCTTGGGATCATGACCTGAGCCAAAGGCAGCTGCTTAACCGACTAAGACACCCAGGCATCCCTAAGATTTTATTTTTAAGTAATCTCTACATCTCCCTTGGGGCTCGAACCTACAGCCCTGAGATCAAGAGTCACAGATTCAACCAGTGAAGCTACCCAGGCACCTCTGTATCATTCATTCTTGAGTTTTGTTTAGGATCTATTTAGAATTCCTAAAATAATTCTAGCTTAGTGAGGAGAAGGTTTTCTGAGTTCTACCATCAGTAATTTCTACCCTGAACTTCCTTTAAGTCTCTGAAGAAAACCTGACACTGATCAGTGAGCTCCACATTCTAGATAGCAGCCGTTTCAGCAGCCGTTGTTTAAAGGCAGAATCCTCTAGCCAGGATTCTCAGTGCATTCATAAAGGAGTCATTGTTTGGTTTGTTTACGTAGAAAATGAGAGGTGTTTTTGTTTTTTAATTTGAATTTGTAGGATCTGCAAAATCAGCACAAAGCATGTCAAAAGTTCCTACTGCTTTTAATTTGTTGATCTTGGTAAGTTCTGCGTAATGTAATAATGGGAACAATATCATCCTCAATTACTAAGGTTCATAGTATGTAAGAGAATTCCTCAGAGTCATATAGCAAGTTTCCTAATTCCTCAGTCCAATGTATTTTCCATTTAATAAAGTGCTGCGTCCTTTCGCTCTCATTGATTAGGAACTGGTGGTATTAGTATAAATGTATTAACAGCTTATTTCCTTACTAATTTCGTGTTTATCTTTCATCAGTGCTTCTTATAGTGGTATCTGTCTGCACAGCTACTGGTGCCTGGAACTGGTTAATAGATCCTGAGACACAAAAGGTAGAAGTTTTGATTTAAAATCTTTACTGGATTAAATGAGATAATGTAGCAGTGCTTTGTTCATTGTAAAGTATTACCCAAATGCTACCTATTATTGCTAGTAGTGACATTAATCATTATATTAAATATATGCCTTATATTAATTTGGTTAAGAAAAACTTCGGTTGTGTGTTGTAGATTAAGTATCTTTTACAGGGAAAAAGACCTAAGAAATACCCCACTTACACTACTTACTCATTTCTGAACTTCTTACGTATCTTTTTACATTTCATATTCACAGTTTGTACATATTTCAGTATAAAAATTGTCTTCTCTTTTGTTCATTTAATATCATCTGTGCCAGCTTTTAAAAAGTATAAAATTTCATTTTCTTCTGTGACTTAAATTTGGTAGTACCTTTCATCATCCCACAAAGCATTTGAAATGTCTTTGCGGGAAACATGATAAAACAGCAAAATTTTAATGTAATAAAACATCAAGATCGAGGGGGGAAAAAAAAAGATTAGACTAGAGGGTCAAAGGAGGGAAACCAGGTCACAGACAAGGTCATATGGGCCACCACACTTGCCAGAACTGAGTTGTAAATTAGACTCTGAGTTACCTAATCCATAAAGTCACAGTTGGTTCCATGGTTTTCCTTCTCTGTGAAAAGAACACATGTATGAGTTCCGTAAGCTAGCAAAGATTTTGTTCTCCGCATTTATCTTCAAAAGAATTTCCTGCCTGAAATTTAATATAGGAAACCCTGAGAGAACTCCCATTGGGCACTGTACAAGAACATCCCTATACCAAATGCAATAAAAGATTTCATAATGTTATTTCTGGAAGCATCCTTTTGATCAAACCTGATAGAATGTTTCTCAAAATTCTGCTTCTTTCTACTAACTTGTGCCTTAATTTCAAACTGAGTTTTGTTTTTTTTTTATTAGAGAAGCAGTAGTCTCCAGTATTTCAGTGAAGTTTTTTTTTTTTTGCCTCAGTGCAGCTTTATTTAGGTAATAGTGGTGGTCTAATTTTTCTCAAATTTCAAGCCCACATCCCTTTTTAAACTGTAATTAGGTAGACTGCTTCCAGTAGCTTTATTTATAACCTGTTGGTTTATACAGAAGGAAAACCTAATAGCAAAGCTTTTGTCAGCAGTCCAGATGGCAGTTCAGGCAGCCAGGGGATTATTTAGCGTGTAGTCTCCCTGCCTTTATCCATTGGGGTGGAGATATAAAAGAATAGGAGGTAGGGGAGACTGGTGATGGAATTTTACATTAATAGAGGGGTTTTTATGGCAGATAGGAAACTCTCTTGTGTGTTCATTTATAAAAGTCTGCTCTTAAGGCTCTGCTTGGTGTTCATCTTCAGGGGAAGAGTGAGGAGGCTGGCAAGAAGATTGAAAAGGTCTATCTTGGGAAATGAATCTGACTTCTAATTGGGAAAAATATAAGCTGATTTCAGCTAGTTGAGATCTTAATAAAACACAGAATTAAATGTAATTTGAAATAGACCCAAAACTCTGTAGTTAATGTAATTTTCTAAATTAGGTGAGAATATAACTATTAGCCTAAGGGTTAGCTCTTTAGATTTCAGTATTTAATAACCTCAAAGCTGATAGGAGTTTTAAACAGCAGTTGTCTCTAGCAGGAGTTGCAGACTCAAAAGCCAGTGCGCGATTTTCTGGAAGAATCCAAGGAGAGAAGGAGTAGAGCAAGCTAGAAAGTACATGAATGCCTGATCTAAAGGGGGAACCGGTATTTCGATGCAGTTGATCATTGCTGTGGAGGAAAGAAGGGTGATGTTGACTGATCTAGTTAAAATTGACGTATAAGACACTACACGTGCTTACATTGTGCAGGCCACGTGAAATCTAGCTGGCCTGTGGGAATTAAGCTCTCCTTGAAGGTTTTAAGAAGACATTCCTCTGGATCATTAACCTTTTCAGAATTTCATCCTTCTGGGAGCTTCTTCGCTTCTGATGTTGTCAGTCTCTCATTTCTTCTTTTGACAAATTTATTTAACCAGTAGCATACTAGGCCAGCTACCTGGTCTTTTTTGTAAGTTTAGTTCTTGGTCTTGAAATATGTATGCATCTCTTGTTATGAGTGGAGTATAGATGCCTTTGGCTTAGTTCTGTTGCTCCCATTTAGTTCCTGGTCCATTGGATTTCTTTTTCCAGACTCTAAACACATCTTTTTTCCTCTTTCAAACTATAGTGCTATCCCCCAGTAGTCTGGCTTCAGTGCCCCCTCTTGTTTTAGTCCTGGATCCTAGACTCTTGTCTTACATACTCCCGTTGTCTTATTTCCTGCTGTCCTCTCTTATGCCCAGATCTGAAATTAGCTCTTTGTTTCTCTTAAATGCTCATTCTTTTTTTCTTTCTTTCTTTTTTTTTTAATTTGAGAAAGAGGGAACGTGAGCACGACAAGTGGTGGGGGAGAAGGGCAGAGAGAGAGAGAGAGAGAATCTTAAGCACATTCCCAACTGAGGGCGACACAAGGCTTGATCTCACAACCCTGAAAATACAACCTGAATAAAAGCTAAGAGATGTATGCTCAGCTGACTGTGCCACCCAGGCGCTGCCACCCTTTTTTTTTTTTTAAGTTTTATCTAAGTAATCTCTGTACCCCATATAGGGCTCAGACTCACAACCCCAAGATCAGGAGTCACATGCTCTTCTGACTGACCCAGCCAGATGCCCCTAAACCTACCTTCTTTATAGGTAGCTACTAATCATCTTTCCCTGCTTGAGTGTCCTCTGTCCATTTAAATCTCAGTAGCTTCAGGGGTGCCTGGGTAGCCCAGTCAGTTAGGCATCTGCCTTCAACTCAGATCATGATCCCAGCGTCCTGGGATTGTGCCCCAAGTCAGGCGCCCTGCTCAGTGGGAGCCTGCCCCGCATTGGGCTCTCTGCTCAGTGGGGAGCCTGCCTCCCCCCTCCTCTCTTCCTGCCTCTCTGCCTGCTTGTGATCTCTCTCTGTCAAATAAATAAATAAAATCTTTAAGGAAAAAAATCTTTAAAGGTTTCAAAATCTTTTTAAAAAATCTTCAAAGATTTTAAAATCTTAAAAAAAAAATCTTTAAAGATTTTATTTTATTTAACAGACAGGGATCACAAGTAGGCAGAGAGGCAGGAAGAGAAAGAGGGGGAGGGAGGCTCCCCGCCAAGCAGAGAGCCCGATGCGGGGCTTGATCCCAGGACCCTGGGATCATGACCTGAGCCGAAGGCAGAGGCTTTAACCCACTGAGCCACCCAGGCGCCCCTAAATAAATAAAATCTTTAAAAATAAATAAGTCTCAGTAGCTTTAAAACCAAACTCACTTTTTGCTTCCACAGAAAGGGGAGGATTATACTGGAGCTGAATCTTCTGGGGCCATGTAGGAGAGGAGAAGTACAGTAGCATGTATGTGGGTGCAGCAGGAAATGGTTGGCCTGGGACCAGGTTATGAATGATAGAGGCTGCCCCAGTCCTGAAAGGAAGCTTTTCAACGGGGAGAGTAACTATATCACTGCTGACTTGTATTTTCATTGACTTCAGACCAGAGACCTTATCTTCACTCGTTTAGCAGTATTAATTGAGCATGTACGTTTGCCAAGCACTATTTCACATACTGGAAGAACAGAGATGCACAGGACCACGTCTACTCCTGTGGCGCTTGTGCTTCTATATATGTGTGTGTGTCTGTGTGTATGTAATCTTTATGTCCAACATGGGGTTTGAGCTCATGACTACTGAGGTCAAGAGACATGCTCTACTAGCTGAGCCAGTCAGATGTCTCTCGTCATCTGCTTTTTAAATTGTTTTTTACCAGAGAGAGTTTAGTAAACATTTTGGTAGGATGGTTTTTGATTATAAGAATGAATTTTTAATGGTTAAAGTCTGAAGTTGATGGAGGGAATATTGCTATATTATCTTACTACGTTAAAGATACAAAATAGATAACTGGTTTTATTTGCATGGCACAGCAAAACAACTAGGATTATTTTAAGTTCTTCAAATCCTCATATTTCAGATGATTAAAATCCTACATATATTTATGCATACATAAGTGGGGAGGTAAAAATTAGTATTGTTCTGAGATTCTGAACATTTTTATATTTCAAACTCTTCTTTTCCAGGTGTCCTTCTTCACATCTTTATGGAATCACCCATTTTTCACTATTAGCTGTATTACTCTAATAGGCTTGTTCTTTGCCGGAATACACAAGAGGGTCGTTGCACCATCAATGTATCCTTTACCAAAATTGACTTTTATTCTCTGAATGAAATTAAAGCACCTTTTTGATCATCTAGGTGTTGTTTTAAAAGCTTATTCTTCATATGATAAATTTTCCTTTGACCACATTTTTTCAGCATAGCTGCTCGATGTCGAACTGTATTAGCAGAATACAATATGTCTTGTGATGATGTGAGTATTGTTTACATTAGAAAATTGTAGATGTGCATGAAAGGACTGAAATGTTTTGGCTTAAATAAAGCAGACATTAATAAATTGTCTGCATGGGGCACCTGGGTGGCTCAGTCAGTTAAGCGTCTGCCTTCGGCTCAGGTCATGATCCCAGAGCCTAGGGATCCCCAAGTCCTACATCAGGCTTCCTGCTCAGCAGGGAGTATGCTTCTCCCTTGGGCCCACTCACCCTGCTTGTGCTCATTCTTTCTCAAATAAATAAATAAAATCTTTAAAAAAAATTGTCTGCATGGATTAATAGTGGAGATATTCCTTATAGTATTGATCCTAAGACCCATATTTACATCTCAAAAATTGAGATGCATCTAATGATCTGTAGTATCATACAGGTCAACTGGTAGAGTTGACAGTATCCTTTTTTTTTTTTTTTTTAAAACACGTAAGCTGTATGCCAAGTATGGGGCTTGAACTCATGACCCTGAGATCTAGAGTGACATGCTGTACCACTGAGCCAGCCAGGTACTCCCAGTTTAATCTTTCATTTCTTTTCTTTTTTTTTTTTTTTTTTTTTTTTTTTTTTAATTTAGAGCGCACAAGCAGGGGGGAGGAACAGATGGAGTGGGGAAGCAGGCTCCCCACTGAGCGGGGAGCCTGTTGTGGGGCTCCATCCCAGGATCGTGGGATCACAACCTGAGCCCAAGGCAGATGGTTAACTGACTGAGCCATCCAGGCACCAGTTTAATCTTAATGACATAAAATCATGATGTGTCTTATGATTGAAGCTGTCTTAAATTCAATACACAGTTGTCATTATTGGCCAAAAATGGATTGTTGGGTGTTGGATTTGTAAACTGTTATTTATCTAATGATATTCTGTATATAGGATTTTTAAAAATAAGATTTTATTTATTTATTTTTGAGAAGGGGGGAATACAAGCAGTGGAGGAGGGGCAAAGGGAGAAGCAGAATGTCCAGGAGCCCGATGCAGGACTCAATCCCAGGACCCCAGGGTAATGACCTAAGCTGAAGTCAGGTACTTAACTGTCTGAGCCACCCAGGCGCCCTGTATGTAGGATTTTAAATTAGATCTCAAATTAATTGACAGAATACAAATTTAACAAACCGACTGGTTTTGTTTGTTTTGTTTTGTTTTTAAGATTTTATGTATTTATTTATTTGGCAGAGAGAGAGAGACAGAGTGGGAACACAGCAAGGGCAGTGGGAGAGGGAGAAGCAGGCCTCCCACCAAGCAGGGAGCCAGATGGGGGCTTGATCCAGGACCCTGGGATCATGACCTGAGCCAAAAGCAGACACTTAACCACTGAGCCACCCAGGCGCCCCCAAACCGACTGTTTTTAAAAGTTAATCATGTATTGATATACTAGAGTATCTCACAGGTTTGATTTCTTATTTTATTTATAAAGGTATTTTTACCTTCAAGTTAAAAAAACTATCAAATAATACTTATCCAGTATAGAAAATAAGAATAAAGAGGAAAAAAAAGATACTAAGCCAGGAAAGCCACTAAATCAATGAAGAGAATAAAGACTAAACACTTTGATTTTTTTTTTAAATTAGAGGATAAGTATAGTATTTCAAGTCAAACGGGGAGAAATGGGCTAATAGTGTTGAGGTAATTGGCTTTTCATTTGAGAAAGAAATGAATTTAGATCTCTTTCACATCAATTAAAAAGATTAAAGTCCAGATAAAGTCTTAAATATATTTAAAAAGACATACGTATCTCATAAGCCTTAGAGGAAAGTACATATGAATGGTTTTTTTTTTTAAGATTTCTTTATTAGTGTAATAAGTAATACAACATGCACGTACACTTGAGTTGGGGGAAGGGTAGAGGAAGAGAGAAACCCAAGCAGACTCTCTGCTCGGTATGGAGCCCAACATGGAGCTCGAGATCACGACCTGACTTGAAACCAGGAGTTGGACGTTTAACCCACTGTGCCACCCAGGTGCCCCAGAGATGAATATGTTTATGATCTTGGTGTAGAAAAACTTTTTAAGACTCAGAACAAAAAACCATCATGGAAGAGGTTGGATACCTTTAATTGCACCAACATTTGAAAATATTATACAGCAAAAGGCAAGAAAATGAGCAGTGATTAGAAGAAATTGTTTGCTGGCTTAGTCGGTGAGCATGTGACTCTTCATCTCAGGGTTGTGAGTTTGAGCCCCACATTGGGTGTAGAGATTACTGAAAAAAAAAAAAAACATATAAAAAGAAAGTATTGGCAAGATATCTAATAGAGGATAAAATATAAAATAAAGACCTATTAAAAATCAATAAAAAAAGATAAATAGTACATTTGAAATGTGGAAAGAGGTAAGTCATCTCACAGAAGTGGGACTACAGATAGCCTCATTTGTAATTGGGGAAATGGACAGTAAAACTGAGTTATCTTTTTCTTTTCTTTTTTTCTTTTTGAGAGAGAGAGAGAGTGAACATGAGTGGAGGGTCATGGGGTGAAGCAGAAGGAAAGGGAGAAGCAGACTCCCCACTGAGCAGGGAACCCATCACAGGGCTTGATCCCAGGACCCTGAATTATTACCTGAGCCCAAGGCAGATGCTTAACCGACTGAGCCACCCAGGTGCCCCTAAAATTGAGTTTTCATTTGTCTTACCTACCTTTACATTGGTAGAAATTGAAAGTCCAGTACTGTGGTAAAGTAGATGAACCCATGCACTGCTTGTTGAGAATATACACTGGGATAGCCCTGTTAGAGGGCAGTTTTCATCATTCCTGTAAAATGTAAAATTGGCATGTCTCATGACCTAACCATTCTACTTCTCTCCATCTACCCTTGGTGGGGACCATCAGTCACATGCACACGAGGAGGCAGGTACAAGGTCGTCATTGCAACATGCTTTGCAGTAGGGAAAAAATGGAAACCAGCTTTACATTTCCCAACAAGGAGATGGTAAAACAGGCTGAGGTGTAGCCACATTGTAGGAAATTGTAAGTAAATCTGTCCGTATGGCCATGGAAGGCTCTGCAGGGCATAACGTGAAGTGCAAGAAGTAAACTACTGGATGGTACACTCCGTTTGGTATCTTCTTTTTTGTTGTTGTTGTTGTAGTTTTTTTTTTTTTATTTTAAGATTTTATTTATTTCTTTGACAGAGAGAGATCACAAGTAGACAGAGAGGCAGGCAGAGAGAGAGAGAGAGAGGGAAGCAGGCCCCCTGCTGAGCAGAGATCCCGATGCGGGACTCGATCCCAGGACCCTGAGATCATGACCTGAGCCAAAGGCAGCGGCTTAACCCACTGAGCCACCCAGGCGCCCCTGTTGTTGTAGTTTTTTTCCCCCTAGTACCATTTTCTTTTTAATTCCAGTATAGTTAATATACAATGTTATATTAGTTTCAGGTGTACCATAGAGTGATTTCAGCACTTCTGTACATCACCGTGTGCTCATTATGACAAGTGCACCCCTTAATCCCCATCATCTATTTCCCCCATCCCCCCACCCACTTCCCCTCCTGTAACCATCAGTTTGTTCTCTGTAATTGAGTCTTTTTCTTGATTTGTCTTTTTTTCTTTGCTTGTTTTTGTTTTTTCTTAAATTGCACATAATGAGTGAATTACACAGTATTTGTCTTTCTCTGTTTCACTTAGCATTATACTCTTGAGCTCCGTCTATGTAGTGCAAATAGCAAGATTTCATTCTTTTTTGTGGCTGAATAATACTCCAGCGTGCACGCGGTTTGTGTGTGTGTATCACATCTTCATCTGTAAGAAAGGTTTTTTTTTTTAAGATTTTATTTATTTATTTATTTGACAGAGATCACAAGTAGGCAGAGAGGCAGGCAGGGGTGGGGAAGTAGGCTCCCTGCTGAGCAGAGAGCCCCATGTGGGGCTCCAAGGCAGAGGCTTTAACCCACTAAGCCACCCAGGTGCCCCCTGTAAGAAAGTTTTAATTACGAAAATTTCCAGACAAAAAAATGGAGAGTATAATGAACTGTGTCCCCACTGGTCAGTGTCAACAATAATTAGCTCATGGCCATTATTTCATGTGTACCCCTGCCCACCTTCCTCCATCAGATTATTTTGAAACAAATCCCAAGTCGTATTTTTTACCTTCAAATATTTTAGCATGTTAGAAACACCAAATTTTTTTTTAAGTTTGATTTATTTATGGGGCGCCTGGGTGGCTCAGTGGGTTAAAGCCTCTCCTTCGGCTCAGGTCATGATCCCAGGATCCTGGGATCGAGCCCCGCATTGGGCTCTCTGCTCAGCGGGGAGCCTGCTTCCCCCCTCCCCCTGCCTGCCTCTCTGCCTACTTGTGCTCTCTGCCTCTCAAATGAATAAATAAAATATTTTTTCTTTTTTAAATTTTACTCATTTATTTGATAGACAAAGATCACAGGTAGGCGGAGAGGTAAACAGAGAGGGGGAGGCAGGCTTCTTGCTGAGCAGAGAGCCCAATGCGGGGTTTGATCCCAGGACCCTGAGATCATGACCTGAACCGAAGGCGGAGGCTTAACCCACTGAGCCACCCAGGCACCCTATAAATAAAATCTTTAAAAAAAAAAAAAAAAAAGATTTATTTTATTTTAGGGAGAAAGGAGGAGGGGCTGAGGGAGAGAGAGAATCTCAAGCAGACTCCCTGCTGAGCACAGAGCCTGACACAGGGGCTTGATCTCATGACCCCGAATTATGACCCAAGCCGAAACCCAAGAGTTGGATGATTAACTGATTGAGCCGGATGGCTCAGAAACATCAGATTTTTATTATTTATATATGTGGATGTAAATCATAGAACCCGGTCTGGAAGAGTTCATGCTAAAACTGGTTTCTTCTCTTAAGAGGGCTAGAATTTGAGATAAATGGAAGGAAGAATTTCAGCTTATGTATATTTGAAAACATTTTAAATTGTTTGCTTATTTTTAAAGTAACCCTATACCCAACATGGAGTTTAAAGTCACATCCCCATGGGGCAGCTGGGTGGCTCAGTGGGTTAAAGCCTCTGCCTTCGGCTCAGGTCATGATCCCAGGGTCATGGGATCAAGCCTCGAATCGGGCTCTCTGCCCAGCGGGGAGCCTGCTTCCCCCTCTCTCTGCCTGCCTCTCTGCCTACTTGTGATCTCTGTCTGTCAAATAAATAAATAAATCTTTTAAAAACTAAATAAATAAAGTCATACCCCCAAGGTCAAGAGTCATGCTTCACTGACTGAGTCATCCAGGTTTTATGTATTTGATTTTTTAATAAATTACATTAATGTCTTTTCATGTAATTTAAAATAGATTAAGACCTTGGGGAGCGCCTGGGTGGCTCAGTGGGTTAAAGCCTCTGCCTTCAACTCAGGTCATGATCCCAGGGTCCTGGGATCGAGCCCCGCTTTGGGCTCTCTGCTCAACAGGGAGCCTGCTTCCCCCTCTCTGCCTGCTGCTCTGCCTACTTGTGATCTCTCTCTGTCAAATTAATAAAATCTTTAAAGAAAAAAAAAATTTGGGTAAAACAAATAGTGGTCTGTTTACACAGTGGAATACTGTGTATTGTGTATCGTAGTAACAATATAAAACAGCATATACTGCTGGAACATAATAACATAGATGAATCGCAGAAGCACATTGAGTGAAAGTAGATGCGAAAGAGCACATACTCTCTGATTGCATGTGTTTAAAGACCAGAGGTGGGCAAAATTTATGGGAAGTAGTTACGTCTATTTCAGGAGTGGGGCTCCCATTGACCAGAAAGGGATGTGGAAGAACTTGCTGGGTGGTGGTGATACTCTAGTGTGAACGGGGTGATGGCTATGTGGGCATATGTGTGTGTGTGTGAAGATTTTTACTTAGCACACACGCAGGGGGAGAGGCAGAGTGAGAGAATCTCAAGCGGATTCTGCACTGAGCCTGATGCGGGAATCAATCTCAGGACCCTCAGATGATGACCTAAGCCAAAATCAAGAGTTGGACACTTGACTGGCTGAGCCGCCCAGGCAGTATATAAGTTATATACTGTATAAGTTATACCTCAACTGAGGTATTTCAAACCGAAAAAATTAGCATCAAAGTTCTACCAACATTACCAGGGAATTACCAAATGTTAAACGGCTAAAAATGAAGTTAAAGTGAGAATCTTGTGATCAGAATCTTTTTTTTTTTTTAAAGATTTTATTTATTTATTTGACAGAGATCACAAGTAGGCAGAGAGGCAGGCAGAGAGAGAGAGAGGTGGAAGCAGGCTCCCCACTGAGCAGGGAGCCCGATGTGGGGCTCGATCCCAGGACCCTGGGATCATGACCCGAGCTGAAGGCAGAGCCTTTAACCCACTGAGCCACCCAGGCGCCCCTTGTGATCAGAATCTTGATAGCACTTTTAACCCAAGAATCACAGTAACAAAATATTAATGAAACCAGCTAGAGTCTCACCAACCAAAGATGTTTTATGTTGCTTTGCCCATTCTCATTTGCTTCTTAGGTATTACGGACTTTTCAGATCTGCTTCTTTGATCCAGTATTAGGCTTTAAGAGCCACCATTTATTGGACATGAACCATGTGCAAAGTCTTGGGCTTTTTATCTACACTATACCAGCTAAGGTCTTCTGTTTTGGGGCATCTGTGTGGCTTAGTCAGTTTGGTGTCCAGCTCTTGATTTCAGCCCAGGTCTTGATCTCAGGTTCATGAATTCAAGCCTCATGATGAGCTTCATGCTGGGCATGGAGCCTTGTTTTGTTTTGAAAGCGGGAGGGTCTTCCATTTTGTTTAATTACACACTGCCCTCTTTTATGGATACCTCATGATATAATGCCCTGTTGGTCATACAGTTGTTTGCAGTTTCCATACTGCATATGTTGTATATTCTCTGCCAGAACTTAAGCTGCAGGAGGATGAGGGAGTGTGTCTAGTTCATTCTTGGATCCCTAGTATCTCCCACAAGGCCTGGCCCACAGCAGACACTCAGTAAATGTTGAATGAAAGAATTAGTAACATTTTTTTAAAGATTATTTTAGAGTATGCACAAGAAAGCACAAGTGGGGTAGAGGCAGAGGGAGAGATTCTTCAAGCAGACTCATTGCTGAGCTCAGAACCCAATGCAGGGTTTTATCTTACAACCCATGAGATCATGACATGACCTGAAACCAAGATTCCATTGCTTAACCAGCTGAGTCGCCTAGGTGCCCAAATTAGTAACATCTTTATGTACAGCTTTGTGCTTGTGTCCTTCAGGTAAACTCCCAAAAGTGGAGTTACTTGAACTATATGGCATGTACCTTTTCTTTGGGTAAATAACAGTTGGGCCAGGGCACCTGGCTGGCCCAGTCAGTGGAGCATCTAACTCTTGATCTTGGGAACGTGAGTTCAAGCCCCATGTTGGGCGTAGAGCTGACTTTATTTTTAAAGGTTTATTTATTTATTTATTTGACAGAGAATGAACACTGGCAGGGGGAGTGGCAGGGAGAGGGAGAAGGGCTCAATCCCAGGATCATGACCCAAGCCAAAGGCAGACCCTTAACCAACTGAGCCACCCAGGTGCCCCTAGAACTATATTTATTTATTTGTTTCTTCAGTTTTTAAAAAAATATTTGTCAGAGCACAAGTAGGGCGAGTAGTAGGCAGAGAGAGAAGCCGGCTTCCTGCTGAGCAGGGAGCCCGATGTGGGACTTGGTCCCAGACTCCTGGGGTCATGACTGGAGCCAGAGACAGATACCTAACCGACGGAGCCACCCCTAGAGCTCGGTTAAAAGAAAAAGCTGGTGGGGGGGGGGGGGCAGTTGACCTTACAGAAGAGTTAACATCCACTTACACTGAACATCAGCAGTGTGTGTCTAGTGCTCAATCATTGGTTTACATTTTCACCTGAAAGTAAAAATTTAATGTTAGTGAAGGAAAAATGTTTCTGCTCAGATACATATACTTGTGTTTTATAAATTTCATTTGACAAGGAGCATGAATTTATACATGTTGGGATTTTATTTATGGGATTGATTGGCAGATTTTTAGGTAGCCAGTGGACAGGGAGTTCATCAAATAGATTGTTTTGTTTATTTATGCATTTATATATTTATAAGATTCATTTATTTGTTTATTTGACAGAGAGTGAGAGACAGCTAGAGAGGGAACACAAAGGAAGGGGAGTGGGAGAGGGAGAAGCAGGCTTCCCGCTGAGCAGCGAGCTCAATGCAGGGCTTGATCCCAGGACCCTGGCATCATGACCTGACCAAAGGCAGACGCTTAATGACTGAGGCACCCAGGCACTCCAAATGGGTTGTTTTAAAGTAATGAAGATTTTAGGGGTGCCTGGGTTCGTTAAGCATCTGCCTCTGGCTCAGGTCATGTCATGATCCTGGGTCCGGGGGTCGAGTTCTGCATGGGGCTCCCTGGTCCACAGCTACTGCTCCCTCTGCCTGCCACTTCTCCTGCTTGTGCTCTTTCTCTCTGTCAAATAAACAAATAAAATCTTAATAATGAAGATTTTAGGAAGAAAACTCCACACAAAACTTGGAAAACATAACTGTTCATTGCTTAATATTTACTTTACATATTGGGGCACCTGGGTTAAAGTGGGTTCAGTGGGTTAAAGCCTCTGCCTTCGGCTCGGGTCATGATCTCTGGGTCCTGGGATCAAGTCCTGAATCGGGCTCTCTGCTTGGCAGGGAGCCTGCTTCCTCCTTTCTCTTTTCTCTGCCTGCCTCTCTGCCTACTTGTGATCTCTCTCTGTCAAATAAATAAAATCTTTAAAAAAATATTTAAACTTCATATAAAGGATGTTCTGGTACCGTTCAAATGTACTTCAAGGCTTATGGATAAGTGGTGATGTTTTTAATGGAACTGTGTATTGAAAAACTTTTTTCTTTCATTTTTACAGACAGGAAAACTCATTTTGAAACCTAGACCTCATGTTCAGTGACAATGTGCACTCATTGTTATGGGACCTAAAACAGCCTTTCTTCAAATGAGTGATACAGCAAAAAGCCATAAAGGATTCCTTTTACAGTTGGATATGTGAAGGTCATAGCAACAACTGACAAGAAGTGTGCAATATTTACCCAGATGATCTCGATGATGATGACTCGCCTCCCCCGTGCTTGGTACCTTTGATTATCTGTGTTACAGTGTTAGTGTCACTTTAGTACTTCAGACCCTGCAGCGACTTCTGCAGATGAAGTATGTCTAGATGTTACTAAGTTAAACTTAGAAACAGAACCTCATCCCAGTTTTTATAATGTATTTTTGCAAACTACTGTAAATAGCAAATCAATGCCAGTGTCAAAGAGGGAAGCGTTCCGTGGACTTTGTTCTCCTGCACCAGTATCGTGGGAGCATCCGTTGGCTGGCCCCATGGCTCTTCAAAAGAACACCCAGCTATCGCGCACAGCTGTGCCTTTCATTCTTACACCCCTCTGTTCTAATCATAATGCAAGAAAAACATCGGATCGAGTGTAAACTGAGAAAGACTCATCTCCATTATGTTGTGAGAAATTATAGATGTTCTTCTGAGAAAACATTTTTGTTAAACTAGATAGTGAACTTCAACCACTCTCATGGTAACCATTTCCACTTTGTTGTTTTCCTTCAATGCTAAATATACTTTATATATTTTTTAATAATTTTAAGAACACTCCAAAGGCTTCTGAATATACAAGTTTAGTTATAAATTATGTACTGTCCGGGAATTTGATAGTCCTTGTTTTAGATCATTGGATCTTAACGCCACGGTTGGCGTGCTTTTACACTAGTGTTGGCACGGGTGTAATTGATCAGCCGCTGCATCACGGGGTGACTTGGGAGCGGCGCCCCAAACTAGAGTCTACAATTCTCACTGTTCCGAGAGTGTTAATGACATACTGTGTATGCATTTTAGCCACCTGTACTATAATTGCCCTACTCTTAAACTATTGGGATTGCTGTAAGTATTTTAAAGAACTGGAGGTGCCTTTTACCTGTTTATTAGATGATTTTGAAAAGGTTTAAGTTATTTCATGAGCAGTCTTTTAAATTCCATTTAACATGAAGCTGAAAATTCACTCACAGGACAAAACCTTTTTAACAAGGCTGCCATTTAACTTAACTGTCCATCTTGGCGTTGACGTATTTGAGATTTTATTCTTAAAACTGCAGCAATAAGACCCTCTCTGCTCCTACGAAGTCATCAGAGGGTACGCTATGTATTCGGCACAGTTTGATTGTCTGTAAATTTTGTAGGTAAATATGTGCATAAAAATAAATACTTTATATATAATTAGCGACTGGGCTTTTTTCCCTCGATTCATAGAAAGTCTGTAGCACTTAAGGTTAGAAAGCACAACACATGTGTCAGATACAGACTAGTTCCAGATGAGGTCTCTTACTTAACTGTCTAGTAGAAGGCAGACACTCAACGACTGTGCCATTAAAGACAGAACTAGCACCAGAGTTCAAGTCTCTTGACTCAGATTGAAAAACTGGTGTGTGTGTGGGGGTGGGGGGGATACTTAACTCAGGAGCCATTAGAATGTGATCATTAGAATGTAGATTCTTGGGGCGCCTGGGTGGCTCAGTGGGTTAAAGCCTCTGCCTTCAGCTCAGGTCATGATCCCAGGGTCCTGGGATCGAGCCCCACATTGGGCTCTCTGCTCGGCAGGGAGCCTGCTTCCTCCTCTCTCTCTGCCTGCCTCTCTGCCTACTTGTGATCTCTCTCTGCCAAATAAATAAATTAAAAAAAAAAAAAAGATTCTTGGGGCACTTGGGTGGCTCAGTTGGTTAAGCGTCTGCCTTTGGCTCTGGTCATGGTCCCGGGATCGAGCCCTGAGTTGGGCTCTATGCTCAGTGGGGAGTCTGCTCTCCCTCTCTGCTACGCTCCCCCCGACCCTCACCACACCCTCTCTGCTACGCTCCCCCTGACCCTCACCACTCATGCCCCCCCAAAACGTTTTATTTTTAATTATATTTGGGGTGTCTGGGTGGCTCAGTTGGTTAAGCAGCTCCCTTCGGCTCAGGTCATGATCCCAGGGTCCTGGGATCGAATCCTGAGTCAGGCATTTCAGTGGGGAGTCTGCTTCTCCCTCTGCCCTTCTCCCCTACTCATGGCCCCTCTCTATCTCAAATAAATAAAAATCTAGAGAAAATAGGGGCGCCTGGGTGGTTCAGTCGTTAAGTGTCTGTCTTCGGCTCACACAATCTCAGGATCCTGGGATCGAGCACTACATCAGGCTCCCTGCTTGGCGGGAAGCCTGCCTCCCTCTCTCCCACTCCCCCTGCTTGTGTTCCCTTTCTTGCTGTTTCTCTGTCAAATAAATAGGAGTCACGTGTTTTTCCCACTGAGCCAGCCAGGCATCCCTTGATTGACATTTTATGGAGACTGGGCTAAGAATTGTTTTGGCTGACAGATGCTCTGTCCTCAGCCCTGACAGCTCCCCTGTCATTTCCTCCTGCTGAAACCACAGAAACTCAAGTTTTATTCTTCCTTCAGACTACACTTTCTATATACTTTTGCACCGAGTATCATTTCTTTTATCCTCTAAAAATTGGGAGCACATCTTGTCTGCATCATGAAACACTTCTATTTTCTTTTTCTTTTTTATTTATTTGACAGATCACAAGTAGAGAGGCATGCAGAGGGGAAGAGGGAAGCAGGCTCCCTGCCAAGCAGAGAGCCTGATGCGGGGCTCGATTGCAGGACCCTGGGATCATGACCTGAGCCGAAGGCAGAGGTTTAACCCACTGAGCCACCCAGGCACCCCTGAAACACATTTTATTTATTTATTTATTTATTTATTTATTTATTATTTATTTATTTTTAAGATTTTATTTATTTATTTGACAGAGATCACAAGTAGGCAGAGAGGCAGGCAGAGAGAGAGGAGGAGGCAGGCAGAGAGGAGGAAGCAGGCTCCCCGCTGAGCAGAGAGCCCAATGTGGGGCTCGATCCCATGACCCTGGGATCATGACCCGAGCCAAAGGCAGAGGCTTTAACCCACTGAGCCACCCAGGCGCCCATGAAACACATTTTAAAAACACTTTTTTAAAGTATGATTGTCTGCTATGCAAGTCTGAGAGAAAAAATGAAAGTGAAAGGATGTCTTACGGAAAGTTTTGGGGTTTCTCTTTTTTTTTTTTTTAAGATTTTATTTATTTGACAAAGAGCACAAGTAGGCAGAGTGGCAGGCAGAGGGAGAGGGAGAAGCAAAGCAGGCTTTCTGTTAGGCAGGGAGCTGGATTTGGGGCTCTTTGCCAGGATCCTGGGATCATGACCTGAGCTGAAGGCAGCTGTTTAACTGACCGAGCCACCCAGGTGCCCCTGGGGTTTCTCTTTTTATCATCTTTGCAGACTGCCCTTTACGTGGCAAGGGCACGTGGGCGGGTAGGAAGGTATGGAAAATGTGTGAGGTAGACTTTTTGCTCTCTCAGAACTGGTGGGGATGCGGGCCAATGATCCAGCAGTTACCACGTGGTCTAAGTGCTATGAAAGGTCAGTGTAGATGCCCAGGGGAAGGGGGTCCAGCCTGCATTGGGTTCTCTAAAGAAGTTCTTTCCAAAGGGATCTGAAGGGTCACTGGGTCAGGGGGACACACAGGCAGTGTTTGAATGTGGCTGGCAGCATGATGTCATCTGCCAAGTCGGGGGGCGGGGGGGCTTGAGGCAGTGTGTAGTGGAAGAGCCCCAGGGGCAGGCTGACTTGTTTAGGGTTCTGGTTCACCCATTAGCTACTTGGGGTGGTGACTCCTCTCTGAACATTACTGTTCTCATTTGGACCTATTCGTAGCTGTCTTGCAGAACTGTTATAAGGACTAAATGAAATAATGTATGTAAGATAACTTCTTTGTGTTCTAACTTCCTTCTGAGTTCTTGTTCTTTGTAGATGCTTAGTATCCAAGGTCCTTAGTACCCAATACCTTAGTACCTGGCAGGATGCTCTGTTGAAGGAATTAATCTTGACGTTGGTATTAAAATAAGGTTTGTACATAATTACACTAAAAAAAAAATCACTTTCTTACATAATTTGCTTATCTGGTTTTGGGAGAGGTTACTTTTTAAAAAAATTTTTTTAACTATTTCTACACCCAGCATGGGGCTCGAACTCACAAACCCAAGATCAAGAGTCACAGACTCCACTGATTGAGCCAGCCAGGTGCCCCTGGTTTTGGGAGATGCATGGGTGGGTCAGTCGGTTAAGCATCTGCCTGTGGTTCAGGTCATGATCCTGGGGTCCTGGCATCGAGTCCCACATTGGGCTCTGTGCTCAGCGGAGAGTCTGCTTCTCCCTTTCTCTCTCCCTCTGCTTCTACCCCTGCTCGTGCTTGCACGACCTCTCTCTCTCTCTCTCAAGTGGGTAAATAAAATCTTAAAAAGGGGCACCTGGGTGGCTCATTCGTTAAGCGTCTGCCTTCAGCTCAGGTCATGATCCCAGGGTCCTGGGATCAAGCCCTACGTCGGGCTCTCTGCTCAGTGGGAAGCTTGCTTCTCCCTTTCCCACTCCCCCTGCTTGTTCTCCCTCTCTCTGTGTGTCTGTCTCTGTCAAGTTAATGAATAAAATCTTAAATAAAAAATAAAATCTATTAAAAAAAGACTAAATGCTAAGATTTATCTATCTTTCCCCCCAGAGAGAGAAAGGGAGTTGTGGAGAGGGAAGAGAATCTTAAGATTTTATCCATCCACTTGACAGAGATCACAAGTAGGCAGAGAGGCAGGCAGAGAGAGAGGAGGAAGCAGGCTCCATGCTGAGCAGAGAGCCCGATGCAGGGCTTGATCCCAGGACCCTGAGATCATGACCTGAGCCAAAGGCAGAGGCTTAATCCACTGAGCCACCCAGGTGCCCCCCGTTTTTATTTTTAAAGATTTATTTTTTATTTGAGAGCGAGAGAGCCAGCTAGCCTCAAACAGACTTCCTGCTGAGCACAGAGGTGACGGGCTCAATCCCAAGACCCGGAAGTCATGATCTGAGCCGAAATCAAGAGTTGGCCACTTAAAAAGCTGAGCTACTCAGGTGCCTCTGTTTTGTTTTGTTTTTTAAATTATTTAAATTCTAGTTAGTTAACATCCTGTGCAGTATTGGCTTCAGGAGTAGAATTCAGTGATTCATCACTTACAACACGCGGTACTCATCATAAGTCCCCTCTTTAATCCCCATCATCCACCTGGCCCATCCCCCACCCACGTCTCTCCATCAACCCTCAGTTTGTTCACTGTCATTAAGAGTCTTACGGTTTGTTTCCTTCTTTCTCTGCGCCCCTGCCCCGTATGTTCATCTGTTTTGTTTCTTAAATTCCACAGATGAGTGAAATCATACAGTATTTG